GAGGCGCCTCCGCGGGGCTGCGGCGGAGCAGGTCGCCTTCCCGGGCGGGCCGCGCTGAGGCTAAAGCGAAGGGAAGCGGGGCGGGGCGATAACGGCGCCGCTATTTACGTGGCGAGTGCGTTGTGTCCTGGTGTTGAGCCCCAGCTCAAGTCTGGGATCGTGCCCGGTATGCAAAGGCCAATAAAGATACCAGGGGTGAAAGTATAAAGATTTATTGCTAGCAATACAAGGTGCAAGCGGAATAATTTCACATAACAAGCACACAGATTCTTAATTCTAAGCATCTTTTATACAGGAGTATTGGACCTTCATAAGCATCCTTGTTTGCTAATTGGTTATAAAGGAGTGACGCAAGGAGTTCTTTACTGAGCATGTCTCTATACCTGTGTTTTAGCTATGTATCTCATTTCCATACATGTATGTTTCATTAGCATACTTTCTCCCCACCTAGGGGTGTGAATCTTAATATTTAAATCAGCTCTTTGCCCTACTCCACTGATTCTGCTTTTGTTTTCAAGCCTCCTTTATCTAAGACTGTCTCCTCCTTATCATTGCAGATGGGCATTAGTTACATAACAGAGACTTTTGCTTGGGCTATGTGTAGTGGTTTCTAGGTCAAACCTGACACTGGGAGCCCCCCGCCCCCGGGCGATGTGCTCTGTGCCAGGTTCCCGCTCGCCGCACGTTGCGGGTTGTCTTGGGCGTCCACCTGCCCTTCCCCTTCCTGCTCCCGTTAGCGCGGGGAGTGTGCCGCACCGCAAGCCCCGCCGGGGACCGGGTGGAGAGCTACCAGGAGGAAACCAGCCTGTATCTGCTTCCTCTCTAGGCTGCCGAGGTCCCACCCCAGACTCGACGTGCCGCACCCAGCAAGGGGAGGGGGAGCTCTGGGCCCGTGATGCTGAGGGCCCCTGAGGACGTGGGTGGTCTCGGGGCTTGTCCCCAGGTGAGTCACAGCAGATCGCTTGGCTCCCCGTGGACGTCTGGGCACCGAGGGTGCTGGAACCTGCTGCCCCAAGAGGCTGCTCTCCAGTGGCTTACGCTGCCAACGGGTGGGCAGGGGGGTGCCCAGCACAGCCTTCTCCGGGCCCCACCATTGCTCCATAGAGACAAGCTCCTGGAGAGCCTCATGCTCCGTTTAGGTAGATGCCTTTGGTCTCATGCCAGCTTTAGAGACCGTGACACCATTCAGATCCTGTGCTAGCGCATGTTCCCTCTGTCCCTCGCCCCCAAGAGAGCCGAGGTGATGTCATTTTTTTCCCCACTTGCACTGGGCTTGGATTTGGGACACTGCACCTGAAAGTCACTGGAGATGTGACGCACAGTGCGTTGACCTGCTGCTGTACCCCGGCATTGAGGACACCTGGACTGGGCTTTTTGTTCTCACAGGGACCCAAGTGCCAAGGCCTGGCCGTGCTCTGGGGCTTATCCCAGCCAGGGGAATAGCAGGGCTTTCTCTGAGCCAGCACCACCAGGACTAATTCCTGGGTTCTCTTCTGCACCCAGCAGGGGCCGGGACCACAAGCAGAACTGAGCAGCAGGCTCCAGAGAGAAGACCTGTAGCCCTGGGCCTGGTTCCAGCCAGAAACCATCAAGCATCAGCGGACGCACATGGGGGAGCGGCCCCACCTCTGCCCGGACTGCAGGAAAACCTTTGCTTGGCCAGACCAGCTCCACGTGCAGCGGCGTGTGCACGCGGGGGAGAAGCCGTACCTCTGTGCCATCTGTGGGATCAGCTTCAGGCGCCGCTCGGTCTTCACCCAGCACCAGCTCATCTACACCCGGGAAAAGTTGCACTGCTGCACTGCGTGTGAGGATAGCTTCCGCACAGGTGTGCTCCTTGCCAACCACCAACGCATCCATGCTGGGGAGAAACCATGTCTGTCCAGACTGCGGGAAGCACTTCCGGCACCGCTCCGCACTCACGCAGCACCAGCGTGTGCACAGCCGGGGGAGGCCACACAGCTGCCCTGACTGCGGGAAGCACTTCACCAGCTGCCCCGGCCTGCGCTTTCACCAGAGCGTGCACGATGGGGAGAAGCCGCATCACTGTGCAGAGTGTAAGAGGAGCTTCACCCGTGCTTACGACCTGTGTGTGCACCTGCATGGCCACGGGGGGCAGGGACCGCACGGCTGTGGGGACTGCGGGAAGCACTTCCTTCACCCTTCGTGGCTGCACCTGCACCGGCGCGTGCGCACTGGAGAGAAGCCGTTCGGCTGTGGGGAGTGCGGGAAGAGCTTTGACCTCCGCGTGTACCAGCACATCTGCACTGGGGAGAGGCCCTCTAGCTGTGGAAACTGCAGGAAGAGCTTCAAGTCCAGCTCAGAGCTCACCCAACACCAGCAAACTCACAGGCCAGTTCCTTGCCCCTGATACCAGGTGTCCTCTGTCTGTTTTCACCTTCTCCCTACAGCCTGTTGCCTCTTGAGGGTAGGTCCAATCCCTGCTCTGAAGGGATCACCCATCAATTGGGTGCTGGGTTTGCGTGGCTCAGGGAGTGGGGAGCAAGGGACCTGTAGAGAGGAATGAGGTGAGGGGCCTGCAGAGTCCTGGATGCCATGGTGGGATCCTCTCCTCCAGTGAATCTGCACTGCAGCATTGGGAAACAAATAAACATTGAGCCTTTATTACTTTGGGTCAGTGACTCGGGGGTAGAAAGCTGAAGCAATAGGCCACTTTGCCCAGCAATCCTACATGTGATGTTGTTGTGTGTCTGTTACTTCAACACCTTAACTTAGCAGCTCACCATGGAAAGACTTATAATGAGAACTATTTATTTATTGTATTTATGTCTGTTGTCTTATTTTTATTTCACATCTTGAGAGAGGAGCAGAAAGGAGGGCAGCATGACACCTTATAACAGTAATTTCGAGAAGCACGAGCTTTTGTAGGCAACAGCTTGCTTTGTTGGCTGCTATGACTGTGAATGGCCTTGCAGAGAGTACTAAACAGAAAGGAGTTAGGGGCCTTGGATACAAAGGCTGGGGAAAGGGGGAAGGCAGGCAGGGGCACTGCAGAGACTGATGAAGGTGACTTGGAGAAATTAGAAAGTAGAAATAGAATAAAGCAGTTAACGCACTGAAGGACGGGTTAAAAAAGTTCATTCAGACTTTAGAGTCTCTCTTGAGAACTTGTTGAGCACAATCCCATCTGGGGTTGAGGACATCTTCCGCAATCTCAAGTTGGGTTTCAAAGTTTTGCTGCGTATGAACAGCTATGTTCCCTGGGTGAACTGCCTAGGGAGCCTACAGTGTTCTGCTGCAGTCCTGTATTTTTCTACAACTGATGTCAAATTGGTGTCTGTTCCTCCTGTCGCATGGGGATTGCCCCACATGCCCATTGTAGACAGCACAGGAGTACTAGCAGCAGGTGATGGCGCAGTGCAGTTGGTAGAGGAGCAGGTGAATGACCCTCCCAGATTGCGTTGGTGGTGCTTCTCTCCAGAGTGACCAGAGCCTGCGTACAGGAGCAGCAATCGGCTCACAGTTGTATCTGGATGGGAAATGGGCAGTGCTGCCTCTGCCCTTTCCTCAGTGCTGTCCCCCAGGCAAAGAGCAGAATCATAGAGTCAGGCTGGAAGGGCTCTCCGAAGCTCACCTAGTCCAGCCCCCTGACAGAGGAAGGGTCCTCCCTGTCCCAACCACTTGTACTGAGCCATGCCTACAGTATTACTAAAATAATTTGATCAATCCTGTCACCCAGCTGCAAGGCTGAGCAACTGAACTTTCCACGGGTAAAACAGGGACGCTAGTGTGCAGGATCCTGTGGGTACAAAGGTCGTTAAAAGTGTGCCTGAGGGGTCCAAGCTAGAGCCCATACCCTCTGCTACAGAGGAAGGCAAACAACCCTCCCTCCCTTCCCACAGTTTGAGCACAGGTATAATTTCTGACCACAAATGTGGAGACAGGTCTGACTGAGCAGAGAGGCAAGACCGTGTAGGCAGGAACCTCTGGTTTTAGTCAGTTCCCCAGCCTTGGATGCAGCCAGCACCAAACGCTTCTGAGGAAGGTGAGAAAAACACCCTGACGTATATCAATGTGGGGGGAAATTCCTTCCCAGCCCTATTCAGCACCCAAAGCCCAACAACATGGGGATTACCAACATGGTATATAAGCATATCTACTGCCAGAGCATTCCTGACCTGTGCTTGTCCAAGCTTTTACTAAACACTTCTGAGGACAGGAGAGTCCGCAGCTTCCCTGGATGTCTATTCTGCTACCTCCCTGCTCTAACACTGACATAGTTCTTCCATTTTTGTAGCTTTTCAGGTTTAGAATAATTTTGTTTTCTGCCACCAGAAAAGCTCCCACAAGAGAGGCAGCTCCTGAGAGGGGGGTCTCCACTAGGAGCTGTAGGGATCCAGGATCCCTCCCGTGAAGCATCCCAGTGGTGGGGACAAGCCAGTGTGCTGTGAACTGATGGTGCCTTCCCTCCTCAGTGACTCCAGCCTGCCTCAAGCTGTGGCTGTCTGTGGACTGCTGCTACCAGTCTGTGGTCAGCCAGGCTTCGTGAAGCTCCTCCACACAGGCATGGCTTCTGGGGCCAGAGGGCTGGCTGGGAAGAACTGGTGTTGGCACCCCTTTGCAGCTGGGTTGCATGGTGCCCACTCCCACGGGTGTAGATTTGCTAAAGCCCAGCCCCAGAAGCACTTTCTTTCCCCTGCAGTAGGTAGATATGAAACAGGTTCCCCTGAGATGACACTCCATGGAAACCCTTGACCTCTGCCCTTTGGCTTATGATACATTGGAGGGGGACCTGGCAGCAGGACAGTCTCGCATGCTGGGGCCTCGGCCACTGCAAGGGGACAGTGACAAGATTCATAGATTCATAGATGTTAGGGTCGGAAGGGACCTCAATAGATCATCGAGTCCGACCCCCTGCATAGGCAGGAAAG